AGAAAGTAAAATGTGAATTCAGCTTTGAAGGAAATGTGTATTTGAGACACATGTGGTGCTTGAAATGATCAATGAGAGTGGAAAGAGAATGGCTTAAGTTAAACATTGTTTGTTGTTTAAATGTCATTAAGTCAGTTCCAACTTATATCAACCCTGGATAGAGTTTCAGAGAGTGGCTGGGGGGTTTAAACTACAACCTTATGATTAGCAGTGCAGTGCTTATCCTACAGCACTGCACCAGGACTCCAAGCAAAAACATGGAGAATGTCAATCATAGTATATGCAGGGGAGCAGCTTAAGACTTTAACATAAGATGAATGAACATGAGTTATAGGAAATACTGTGAAAGAGATAAGTTGATAAGAGTTTGTGGGAGATATGAATGACAAGCTAAAGGGCTCAGTCTTTGCTATTGCTGCTGTTAATTCCCAATGAGTTGGTCCTGACTCATAGTAACCCTATATAGGGTTTCCAAATTGTGGCTGCTGAGCTTGAACCACCAACCTCAAGGTTCAAACAGACCTTGCAGTCTAGCACATTAACCCACAGGACCACACCAGTACTCTTAGGTAAGGAGAATTCATTGGATGAATTTGAACTGGTGAGAGGTGAGATCATACTATATTTTAAGAATTTTGTCAGCATTCAACATCTCAGGAAAACTTCAGGATAACAAAATACTTCATATTTCACATTAATACAGTTTCACTTTCCCATGCACACTAACAACGTCAAAGGTAATTGATGATGGAGAAAATAAACTGTGGGAAAGCTAGAATGAGGTGGCTATAGCAAGACTTCTAGCTGATGTGACAGCAGACATTGTCTATGCCTCAAGGTATTAATTACTGTGGCCTAATGACCAACCAGCTACAAACAGCAGGGGACACAGAGCTCAGTTGTTTTTGAGAGCAGCCCATTTGTTGTCTGAAATCCCTTTCTGTTCACCCATTTTGTTGTATGACTATGGGTATCTTCAGTATGAAGGCATGTTACCTGTGCAGTCCTACAGTGCCCCTCTCAGAAAGGTACTTATGCTCGATTTAATGGTCTGCTATCACAGTCTTGAAATTCTTCATACTGTTTAGAGAGGCCATCATTTTCATTTTGCTTTGGGTGCCATAAATTATATGTTGTTGTTGTTGTTGTTGTGAAGTGCTGTTAAGTCAGTTCCAATCCGTAATGATCCTGTACAGAGTTTCCAAGGAGCAGCTGGTGAGCTTGAACTGCCAACCTTACAGTTCAAACGGCTTTGCAGTCTGGTGCATTAACCCACAGCGCCACACCATAAATAAATTATATAGTCAGTTTGAAATGGTTGGGAAACAACGGACTAGTCTGCCATCCAAATGAGCTGCTCTATATCTGCCTAGAAGAAGTAATACAATGATGAGATCAGCAATTTGCTTATATAACAAAGCTTAAATCTTTATTAGTGTTTCTTAAAATCATGTTTTCTATGGCTGCCATAGACATTTTTAGCCTTGTGGCTTTCTAAATGATAAATTAAGAAAACACTTCTGTAACATATTTTCTCATCTATTCTGTTCCTCCTGGAGCCTGGTTACCAGTATCGGTGAGTGCAGTGTACCCCCTGGAATCATATCAAATGAAATTCTGAGAAAACCTTTAGCAATTATTTTCCCTAATAAAGGTTCTGAAAAACATAGCACTTTGTTCAAAAACATTAATGGCTGACTGATAAAGTCAATCTGTTGTATATTTCCTTTTCAGAGTCAGTACAAATAGATAAACAGAATAAATGTATTTTTAGCTGTTTCCTTAAGCATCATGTAGTTTATTATCTCTGCTTACTTTACTCTGAATACTTATGTACCCTTCTTTAAATTTTTCATCATAATTGTTCTCTCATTTTTTTAATTTATTCAAAATTATTGATGAATTCAATTTAAATGGTCAGATATATCTATAATACTTAATTCATGATCTTAAAAATAGAAGTAACTGTCTATGCTCTCTCTCCCCTCTAGCTCACAAAAGCAAACTATGACTTTTAATACTTTTAGTTGTTATTTACCACCCTGTCCCTAAACAAATAGCATGGTTGTAATTTTACTTCATCATTTTTTAGATTATTTCTACTATGTTATACTGTTGTGATGTTTCATTGAATTGGTACCAACTCATAGGGACCCTATCAACAACAGAATGAAACAACTTTCCTGGTCCAGTGCTAGCTTCACAATCGTTGCTATGCTTGAGATCATTGCCGCTGCCACTTTGCAAATCCATCTAGTTGGGGTTCTTCTTTTTTACTGACCCTCTATTTTACCAAGCATGATGTTCTTCTCTAGGGACTGGTCCCTCCTGAAAGTATGTCTGAAGTACAAGAAGCAAAGTCTGGTCATCCTGGTTTCTAAGGAGCATTCTGGCTGTACTTGTTCCAACACAGATTGATTTGTTCTTTTGTCAATCCACAGTATTTTTAATATTCTCTTCCAATGCCATAGCTCAAATACATCAATTCTTCTATGGTCTTATTGATTGATTGTCTACCTTTCACATGCATATAAGGTTTTTGAAAATATCATGGCTTGGATCAGGTGCACCTTAGTTTTCAACCTGACATCTTTTTTCTTGAACACTTTAAAGAGGTCTCATGCAGAAGACTTGTCCAGTGCAATATGTTGTTTGATTTCTTGACTGCTGCTTCTGTGAGTGTTGACGGTTGATGCAAGTAAAATTAAGTCTAAGAACTTCAATCTTTTTTCCATGTATTTAATGTTATTTATTTATTGGTTGAGTGGTGAGGATTTTTCATTTCTTTACACTGAGACTTTGGTCTTTGGTAACAACCATATAGATTACTAGGGTTACAATGACAAATTGAAGAGGAATGACCTCACATTCATCATCATAAAGAACATTGAAAGATCTGTCTGGAAATACAATGCTGTCTTTGATAGGATTTTGTTGTTGTTGTTGTTGTTAAGTACCGCTGAGTCAGTTCAGACTCACAGTGACCCTGCACAGGGTTTCTGAGGCTGTAAATCTTTATGGGAGCAGAAAGCCTCATCTTTCTCCTGCAGTACTGCTGGTAGTTTTGAACTGCCAACCTTGAGATGAGCAGCCCAATTCGTAACCATTACTCTACCAGAGCTCCTTTTTGATAGGACAGTAACCAGTTAATGCAACTATTATTCAAATTTGTGCACCAACCACTAAAGCCAGTGATGATGAAATTGAAGAATTCTACCAACTTCTTCAGTCTGAAATTGATCAAACATGCAATTAAGATATATTGATAATTCCTGGTGGATTGGATTACAAAGGTTAGAAATAAAGAGAAAGGATCTGTAGTTGGAAAATATGTCCTTGGTGATAGCATGTTGGAGCTACCATGCTAGGATTTTGCGAGGCCATTGACTTGTTCATTGCAAATTCCATTTTTAAACAACATAAAAGACAACACAAATGGACCTCACCAGATGGAAGACACAGAAATCAAATTGACTATATCTATTGAAAAGGGACAGTAAAAGAGTTCACATTATCATCAGTCAAAACAATGCCAGGTGCAGACTGTGGAAAAGACTATAAATTACTCACATGTAAGTTCAGGCTTAAAGTGAAGAAAATTAAAACAAGTATCTACTATTAATGTAAAATAAAGTTTTAATTTTCTTTCACAAGTAACATGTGTACCACACTTTTGCCCTTTTGTCTTTATTCCTCCCCACAAAAAAACTTATAAATTTGGTGATTGGGTCAACAGCTATTATTTATATTATCCTGGCATGTTGCTGTGGGTTAATGCACTGGACTGCAAGGTCGATTTGAGCTGAGAAGCTGGTGGTTGAGTTCACCAGCCACTCCTCAGAAACCCTGTATAGGGCTGCTATGGGTTGGAACTGACTCGACGGCATGTAACAACAACAACATTATTATGACTGTTGAAATATTATTCATATCAGATGTGAAATTTTATTCATATCAATTATATAATTGTATCATATGATACAAAATGATATTTATTTCCTGAACAAGCCTTTGCTTACTTTAAAGCAAATACTTGTTTGTGGTATAGATTTCTTGTTTTTTATGCCTGCCTACCAATTTTTCAAATCTTGATTCACTGAAATTACTGCAAATATTCTTTCAGGACATTAACACATCTTTTGAATCCCCATGAGTTTCCTCTTCTTGGAGATCTCCCTGTCCTCCACTCCGGATCTCCTCCATTCTTCCTCACTCAATCTATTGTGCATAGATGTCACCCAAGGATTTCCCTTGACTCAGAGCTCATATTCCAATATGGCAAAACAATTTGATTGATTTGAAGTACTCTGGATAAGTGGGATTTATAAACAGATAGATGTTAATGTAAGATGTCTTATATGAGTTTTATTTGTATACCCTCCAATTTTCACTCTTTTATTTATTATCTCTTGACCAGTCCTATTTACTCAGGTGACTCTTCTATTGCACTGCCTGAGGAAAGATTCTAGGAATGAACTAGAAGAAAACATCCACAAATTTTCAGCATTTATTATGCTACCCCATTTAAAGACTGATTCTTACACTTCATTGTATCTGATGTCTTCCTGTTCAAAGACTCAAGTCAGTTTTCCACTAAGTGCAGGCAGGAAGAACAGTTACCCTCATTGACTGAGTGATTGGACCTGGATTTCATTAAACCTTCAAGTCCCTACTACCTACCTACTTTAATAGATAACTGTTGTTGCTACTTCCTAACACTGTCTGGATTTCTGCGGTATAAACAGCATTGCTTCCAAGCCATCCCTACTGCTGAACTAGTCATGTATGTGGTCTGTAATCTTAAACTAGGATTTATAATTATATGTGGGCTGATTTTTTAAATTATGAAATACCTCAAATCATTTTAATAAGTAATAGTATAAAAGTGCATAAATAAGTATAAACATATTGCTCAGAATTAAAACACTGCAAAGAACTTGTTTCAAGTGTTTTTAGTTATTATTTATTAAGGATTTGGTTCCTTTCTCCTTTGAATACAGATGGAAGCTTCCGACAAAGCAGATCAAACCTTACCTCTCTACTTGTGCAGCCCGTCTCTGCGTCTCTTGTTGCAACATTGATCTCTTCACCAAGAGAGATTACCCATAATGATGCCTGCAGGCCTCTCAGTCTTCCCAGTTATGGTAAAGTATTTAATGTACCTCTGTGTGCATTGTAGTTTTTGTAAGCATGGCGATCATTCTTCATTATATAGATTGACATGTTTAGGATTATTCTTTTTTCAAATACTCACTTTTATTTAGGTAAGTGTTTAGTTCACTTCAGTGGCCCGTTAAGGGACATTTTTGGAAAGTAATTTTGATAAAGACTGAGAATCGACCACACCGACAGATTAGTAAAGGAAAAAAGAAATCATTATGGAATGCTGCAAAGAAAAGTAGCTTTACAAATAAAGCATTTTGTGCATTCATGAAAATCTGCTTAACAAAGCTTCCCAGTTTCAGCTCCAGCAGTTTCGTTGCCTGCCAAGATTCAGTGGATAGCAGTCAGCTGTCTGGGATATGAAGTCTTTTAGTATAAAGCATTAAAGCCTAATTCCTGCAATTGACTGAAAAATCCCTTCGACTTTATGCATCATCACCTGAGAGATGCTTCTTGTACTGCAGCTCGGTTTGTCAGGCCTTGTTGGACCACATAGAATAAAACTGAAGTAGTTAAGCTACCTGTGGCAGGATGAAAGCTATGAACTGCATCTTATTTCTGCCTCCAGCCCCAGCATTAGAGTTCTAAAGAATAGATTCTCTTTACATATTGTTAAATTTGTTATCTAGTTGCTGTGAAGTACAACTGGAGGACTTTGCCTTTGTGTCTAAACCTGAGGGTTCAACTACCCAGGCTTTATTTCTTTGACAAAAAAGCATTACAAACACATGTTTTGATAAAGCATAAAAAACAAAATCTGTATACATTCAGGATTGCTTTTTGTTAGAGAGGATGCACAATATGCTTTTCAAAGTTCATGCAGATTGAGAGCCTTCCAAACTGATTGTCAATTGAGGTGAGTGGGAAAAATAAAAAAATAAAAAAAAACACTGACAATTCTATGTCCTCAAAGCAGAAAGAAGCCCTCAAGGAATTTTCTGGCTTTGCTTTGATTTGTTTTTGTTTCCTACTCTGAGCTTCACAAAGTGACCATGAATCATTTGGTTGCTGTTAGTTCTGTTGAGTGAATTCCCTCTCATAGGGAATTGGGACAGGATAGAACTGCCCCATAGGGCTTTCTAGATGATAATCTTCATGGAAATCCACTGCCACATATGTCTCCTCTGGACTAACTGGTGGGTTTAAACCTGTGACCTTTCAGTCAGCAGGGGAGCACTTAATCACTCTACCACCAGAGCTTCATCATGGACCCTATTTAGTAAAAAAAAATGTAGTTACCACATTTTATCATAATACTAGTTTAGCTGTGTAAGGAAAGCACTAGACTTGGAAAAGACCAAATGTAAGTTCAATCTTAATAAATTAAATAAACATTCAGAGTCCCTAACTTATTGCAATCACTACTCTGCCTCCAGTAGCTGGCATTCCATAGGTCAGCTCCATGACCACTCATATGGCTCATCCTTTCTGGAAGTTTCTATGACTACTTCTGAAAAAGTAACTAGAATAGTCTATCTTCTCACATTTTGTGAGAATCAAAATTATGATTTATATCTGAGTACTTTTATGCACCAAAAATATTATGTGAATGTTAGAGAATATCTTCCTTATCTAACATGCTGCCAGTTTCTTTCCTAATATGCTGGAAAAAAAATAATGACTGTTTCTGTGTTGCATAAAAGTTAACATGATAAAACGATGGCAAGCTTTTACAAAAATGAATTAGTACTTCCTTTCAAATGCATATTTTCTTCATATTCTCAGATGAAAATTAAATTATATTAGAATAATCAAATATTTGACTGTTAATATTATTTTTTACATTAAAGATATATTTTGAAGTTCTATGTTTATAGTTGTTTAGCAGCTATTTGTGAATTTCATCTATAGCATTTTTTTCAGCTTAGATTTGTAAGCGTCTTAAATTTACCATCTTCTAAAAACTGTGACTATACTAAAATTTGATTGCAATTTTAGGTTTTTAAGAAGTATTTGGTAGCAAAAAATGTTAGTTGAACCTAATACAATTTTTAATCATATGTGAGTGAGTCCATGTGTTCAGAGTGGCCCCAATGTCTGTACACATGAGAAGGTCCAGGAGTTAAGGTATGGTCTACTTTAAGCATCAACCTAAGAATAGAGCCAATGCAAAAAAAGCACACACAAAAAATGAATAGGTGATAAACGTATAGAGACAAAGTCAGAGAGAGACACACACATATACACACAGAAACTGATGATCTACTTTATTCATAAGAGTTTTTGAACATCACAAAAGATAATTCCTTTGTAAGCCTACAAAATAAGATAACTGTAAACTTGTTTGAGGACAAGCTGACCATTAATAGTTTTTGGGTATCAACATGGGGGTCAATGTTCAAAAGAACATTTGAGGAAATAATTATGAGTGTACATAGATACTTTCTCTATGCATGTGTATGTAATGATTTGATATACATAATACAAAAATGTTCAGTGAGTAAACCACTTTAAGAATGACTTATCTATGAAATCAAGTCCTTTGATTGTGTTGTTTAGTTCTGTAGGTGTCTCTGTTGAGTTTCTTTCTAGTTCGATTCCTATGCACTAATAAAGATAGCTCTGAAAAGGAAATCAGGAAAATGATAACATTTACAGTAGCCACCCAAAAGAAGAAATACTTTGGAATACATCTAACTAGAGAAAACACCTATACAAAGAAACTTACACAACACTGCTTCAAGAAACCAAAAGACACTTACAAAAATGAAAGAATATACCCTGCTCATGGATAGGAAGACATAGCATTGTGAAAATATCAAGGCTATCCAAAACAATCTATAGGTATAAGGCAATTCATTTCAGATTCCAAAATCATTCTTTAAAGAGATTGAAAATATGGTCACTAGCTTTATATGGAAAGGAAAGGGACCTTGGGTAAGCAAAGCATTGTTTAAGAAGAACAGCAAAGTTGGAGGCCTCTCACTCCTTGATCTCAAAATTTACTACACAGCCACAGTGGTTAAAGTAGCCTGGTACTAGTATAACAAAAGATACAAAGATCAATGGGACAGAATTGAGAACCCAGAAGTAAATCCATCAATGTACAGTCAGCTGATCTTTGACAAAGGCCCAAAATACATTAAATGTGAAAGAGATAGTCTCTTCAACAAATGATGTTGACAAAACTGGAAATCCATTTGTTGAAGCATGAAACGAGATGCATAGCTTATACTATATTCAAAAATAAAACTCAACATAGATTAAAGACCTAAATGTAAAACCTAGAAATGAAGATCATCAATGAGGAAAATAGGGACAAACTTAGGGGCTCTGATACATGGCATATCTACAGTGTCAATATTACTGAAAAACACACAAACAGCAGAAGACAAAATAGATGAGAGGGACCACCAAAAATTAGATACTAATGTACCACAAGAGATTTCACAAAAACAGAAAAATCAAAAGGGAGCCAACTGACTGGGGATAATGTTTTTGCAATGACATATCAGACATACTTATCTCTGAAATTTATAGGACATTACAACAGCTCTGTAAGAAAAAGATAAACAACCCAATTAAAAATGGGCACAGAACATGAAAACACACTTCACCAAATAAAACATTCAGGTAGCCAACAAACATATGAAGAAATGTTAAAAATATTTAGCCATTCTAACATTAAAACACATGAAAACAACAATGACACAAATAAATCACATCAGTTTTAATAGAAAAATTCAAAAAAAACTGAAAAAAAACCATGTTGACAAGGTTGTAGAGAGACTGGGTTCCTCCTACATTGATGGTAAGACTATAAAATGGTTCAACCACTCTGGAAAATGGTGTGGCACTTCCTTAGAAGTACTGGATGACCCAGCAATTCCTCTACTAGATATATATCCGTAAGAAGTAAGAGCCAGGACACAAGTAGATAGATGCACGCCGATGTTCACAGCAGCACTATTCATAATAGCAAAACGATGGAGACAATCCAAATGCCCATCAGTGGAAGAGTGGATAAACAAACTTTGGTACATAACACAATGAAATACTATACAACCTTGAAGAATAATGATGGATCTGAAAAATACCTCATAACACAATAAATATGTTGGATATTGTGCTGAATTAGCTACGTCAATCACAAAAGGACAAATACTGTATGAGACCATTATTGTAAAAACTCAAGGAAAGGTTTTCTTACTAAAAGAAATAGTCTTTGATGGTTATCAGGGGTGGGAAGGAAAAGAGAGTAATTTACTGGCTAGAGAGTAGACACATGTTAACATGGGTGATGGGGAAGGTAATGTACAAGAAGGGGGAAGGCAATATACAAGAAAACGGAAGTTGGCAGAAGAATGACAAAGATAGGTGAAGATACAAGAAGGTATACATGGACTAAAGGGGATAGCAAAGTTATTGTTGTTGTTAAGTGCTGTCAAGTCAGTTTCAACTCAGAACAATCCTGTATAGGGTTTCTGAGGAACAATTTGTGTGCTTAAACCCTCAACCTTGCAGTTCAAACTAACCTTGCAGTCCAGTGCATTAACCTGCAGTGACTCACCAGGATCCCAAAGGAAATATCGATAAATTGTGATATATATATATATAACCTCGGAACAACAGTGTTCTGTGTGTAGATGCATGGACAGAAATAGGCCAGATGGGTATGGTAGGGAGAGAGGGATATAGATATATTTATAAATCCCACGAATATATAAAAGTTTGAAAGAGGATATTTGTACATGGGTAAATATAGGGAGGAAATGGGACAGCTGTTGTTGCATGGAGGGCATTGCAGTCATTGAGATGAAACTAAGCATATGATTTGTGGAATGTAAAACTGATGATCTTGTCTGTCAACCTTCACTCAACACAATTAAAAAAAGAAAGACATATGATAAATGATGAACTCAAGCTAAGAGTTAGAAATCACTAAACTGAGCAGTGAGGAATCCTGGTGGTACAGTGCTTAAGTGTTTGGCTGATAATTGAAAGTAGTTAGAATCCACCAACTGCTTTGCAGAAGAAAGAT